CTCGGGGGGACCGGGCGAACCTCCTCTCGCAGGAGGTCAGGTTGCCGTCCCCTCTCACGCAGCGAGCTTATTAGGGCCGCCACCCGAAAGGCTAGCCGCGATCGGGAGCGAGGCAAGACGCGGACACGGTCGGCCTGGGCGGAGGGGTGGCACCCGAAGCTCTTTCCTTCCAGTTCGTGACGAGCCTCGACACCAGGGAATGCAGCAACCCGGCGGCACCGGGCGTCCATGCGGACAAAAAAAAAAACTCCCCAGCCCTGATGGAAACAGCTCGGGCCTACCAAGCGCAAGCGAGGGAAGCCCGGGGCCTGACCTCGAGTATCCTCTGAACACCTTTCCTTCCGACGCTCCTCCTCCCAATCCAGCGTCCCCCGCCACCGGTGCTCGGTCTCTCTTGGCATCGGCGGTGTGACTGCGGGTCTTGCTCGCCCGGCCTTCTGAATTCCTCTAGGAAGGCTCGGGAAGGGGCGCCCGCGGTGATGGCAAAGGGACCCTTTTGCTACCCCCAACCGTCCCGCTCGCAGTGCATCAAGGAGCTGCGGGCAGAGGCGGAATACAAACCTCTCCGCAACCGGAACTGGCCGTCCGGTCGCAAAAAACCCTCCCTTGAGCGGGGCGCCCACGGGCCCCGGCACCTAATAAAAACTGGGACCCCACTCCTGACGATGGATATCTTGGAACCTGGCTCGATGAAGAACGCAGCGAAATGCGATACGTAATGCGAATTGCAAAACTCCGTGAATCATCGAAACTTTGAACGCATGTTGCGCCCGAGGCCTCGGCCGAGGGCACGTCTGCTTGAACGCCACACACATCCAGGTGGAACCTCGCATCCGAACCCACCCCTCCGCACGCAGCTAAGTGCGGCAGGGGAAACGGGACGGGAAAGCAATGCGGGGCAGACAAGGGGCGCTCGGGTTGGTGTGGGCTCCGGCCCCCCCTTTCTCCGAGACAATCGCTCGTACCTGGGAAAACGAGATGGCCGTCGCAACCCGTGCGCTCCGGGGCACAAATGGGGGGCAGTCGGTTGAAATCGCAGGGCCGCATTAGCCCGTCTCCGCTCCTCTCGACCCCAGTGCAGATCCCCGGGCGCCACCCGGGAGGACGCGAGTGGGACGAGCGAGATGAGGCGGGCGGCGACCCCGCTGGGCTCGGCGAACCCAGCCGGCCAACGGACTCCGTCCGGACCTCCCAGCAGGTGGGGGGGCCGGTCACTCGGTCCCTCTTTTCTCTCCCGAGACGGTCGCGAAAAGGTTCGGGAGCCGGGGGCGTGGCAACCCCCGGTCTCCCCCTCCAAAGTAGCGCACAAGAACGGGCGAGAGGCGGACGGGGCTCGTACAAAAATGGTCGGACGGGGAGGAACCGGGCAAACCCCAAACGATGGCTTCAAGTCAGGCGAGACCACCCGCTGAATTTAAGCATATTACTAAGCGGAGGAAAAGAAAACAACCGTGATTCCTTTGGTAGCGGCGAGCGACCAAGGAAAAGCCCAGGCTTGAAATCCGAGGGCCCCCGGCCCTCCGAATTGTAGTCTGAAAAGGAAGCGTTCTCTGTGACGGGCGCCGCCTTAAGTCCACTGGAAAGTGGCGGCAGAGAGGGTGACACCCCCGTCGGGCGACGACCCGTCACTCCACGAGACGCATCCGAAGAGTCGGGTTGCTTGGGAGTGCAGCCCCAACATGGGTGGTAAGCTCCATCCAAGGCTAAATACGGCCAGGTTTCCGATAGCGAACAAGTACCGCGAGGGAAAGATGAAAAGAACTTTGGAAAGAGAGTAAAAAGTGCTTGAAATCGTCAGGAGGATAAGCGCATGAGCCCAAGCAAACCTGCGGGCCCCGTTCGCGCGGGGCCCGGAGGTACGCAGCGCCGGTCGATGCCGCGGGAAAAGGAGCTCGCTCCCACCGCGGCGGAGACCGAGGATGACCCTCACGGGTCGGCGCTGGCGAAACGGGCTGATGCGACCCGTCTTGAAACACGGACCAAGGAGGCCAACGCGGCTGCGAGCCAATGGGTTGGAAACCACAATGGCGACAGTGAAAGCGACCCGTGAGAAGGCGGCCTCGTGCTGCCCGCACCACGGACCGCCCCGGGGCCTCGGCGCCCGGGTGCGTTGAGTAGTCGCGTTGGGACCCGAAAGATGGTGAACTATGCCTGAGCAGGGCGAAGCCAGAGGAAACTCTGGTGGAGGCCCGCAGCGCTACTGACGTGCAAATCGTTCGTCAGACTTGGGTATAGGGGCGAAAGACTAATCGAACCATCTGGTAGCTGGTTCCCTCCGAAGTTTCCCTCAGGATAGCTGGTGCTCGATACGTGGTTACGTCTGGTAAAGCGAATGATTGGCGGGCTCGGGGGAGAAGCTCCCTCGACCGACTCTCAAACTTTAAACGGGCGAGGAGGGCCGCCATCTTAATTGTGGCTGGCTTTCAGGGGTGCTGGCTGACCCCACCAACATGAGTGCCAAGTGGGCCATTTTTGGTAAGCAGAACTGGCGAGGCGGGATGAACCGAAAGCCGGGTTACGGTGCCTAACTACGCGCTAACCTAGATCCCACAAAGGGTGTTGATTGATTAAGACAGCAGGACGGTGGTCATA